TTTCTTTCTTTCTTTCTTTCTTTCTTGTTTCTCTCCCTTACCTCCCTTGAAGCTCAAGTTTCTGTCCAGGAAATGACAAGTGCAGCCATAAGGCAGACAACCAAGTGTCAGAATGAGTAAGTATGAACTTTTTACATGGGAGCAGGAGAGCAGAAGTTACCTGGTTTTAACAGAACATTTCAAATGCTTTGCTGTTTATGCCTTGTAACTCTTAAATACCTCCCCAAACACCTGTCCCCTTATATGATTTAAACATAATAAACAATTTCTTCCTAATGTTCTGGTAGTTTTTCTCCATGAGATAGCAAGGACTTGCCTCAGAGTATTTAATGAGGCATCCAGGCCTCCACTACTGAATGAATGAATGAGGAGGACAGGCAGAATAGTATGTCTGCTTCGTCATTATCTCCATATTGCTTTCAACTCTTTCTTAATTTTTCCCCCAGTGAATTTTTTTTCACATACGTAGGAGTTTCCTCCAGGTATGTACTGGGAGATGTCTTGCACTTTGAGACTGCTAAGAGTTTAATTATCAACTTTAAAATGTTGTTACAGAAGACAGTTAAAATTAGGAAAGAGTGGTTTGCCAAGTTAGACACAGCTCTGAATTCATCACCAATATTTAAAGAATCATATGAAAAAAAGTGAATATATATGCATTCCTTTTCTGTAATGGATTCTTTAGAATCACTACCTGGCAGAGTGTATGGTAGTTTCAGAGGTTACTATTGATAGACGCCATCTGGTGGCATGGAATAGCAGCTGCCTGTGTATAAATTCAACTAACACATCATTACAGTTAAATATTAGCTAACAAATTCTTAACAGCAAAACCCAAAACGTTGGTTAATGAATAGTGTACACCCAAGTTAGGAATAAGATTTAGAAGAGTAAGACATAAGGCCCAAGTCTGCTGTTGCAGAAAAAAAAGAAAAAGCACTAATATTAACTACTCTGTAGAATTCATCCACCCACTCCTGTCCATTCCTGAGCTATTTATTAAGCCCCTGCCTTGGGCTAGGTTCTGTGTGATGGTTGGAAATAAAACTCATCTCTACTTGAAGGTGAGAGACAATGGTGGACACTGGTGATCTGCTGGACTGTGCTACAAAATCTCAGGCATCCTCAACATGGCCCACAGGGGGTTCATAATTCCTGTATTTTCAGATGAGAAAAATGGAATTTTGAGATGTACTTGTTTAAAGTTATGTATATAATAAACTTACAAACCAGTTTCAAAGCCAGGGTCATTTGACCCCAGTGCCTGAGGGTTTCTAAAACTCCTATTATTAGGGGCTATCAAAGTAAGGTGGCAGTGAAAATGCTTCTGTGACATATACAGCTTTTGTTCTTCTCTTTCCTCCCTCGATCTCTCCTTTTCTGCCTTTTTTTATTTCGTCAGGCTGAGAGGGCAGATGATACCTTTAAGGGAAATAAGCCCAAGTTGTTTAGTGGCAGCCTGCACCTGAAAATGAGGCAACAAAGGGGAACTTTTGAAAGGCAATGGTCAAGAATTTGAACCATCAAGAAGGACATAACCCACCTGTCTTTGAAGATTCTCAGAGGTACCTGAGATTGGTACCAACAAAGACTAACATACAAGAATTATTATTTGTGAACACAAACAACCTTTCTTTACTGAGGAATGTTTATCACTGAGCCTTGATCATTCTGCCCAGCACACCTTTCCAGATCCCCATAGCACAGATCTATACAGCATTCAATTCAACACATTTTCTTAGTTATGTTTTCTTGGTATTGGGGATTGAATTCAGGCTTTTTGCATTGAACTATATCCTCAATTATTTTTTAAAGACAGAGTCTCTCTAACTGGCTAAATTGCCAAGACTGGGTTTGAACTTTTAATCCTTCAGCCTGAGTTTTCCAGAGTGGTAGGATTACAGGTGTGTATCATCACGTCTGAGTCTTGTACTTGTACCTTGAGAATGGTCTTGTGATGTAAATACAAAATTCTCCTGCAACCCCAGAGCAGAACTGAGCACAGGGTAGAGTCCAATGTATGGGGACAACTGAGGTTTTCATTAGATAGATCCTTCTTGGGCTCCTAGGGATCGTATGTAGTCTTATATTACATGATAGTACTTAGCACATTATTCAAGAACTTATATTATTCTTTTGAATTTCGCTTATAGGAACACATACTTTCCTGCTTTAAGGACTACTGGTCTCCTACAAGACCTAGGCCTGTGACCCAGCTCTGAGCCACAGCCAGCTTTTTGGACCATCTCTGGACTTGGCACTTTCTATTTTTCTCACAACACCATATCCAAACATGTGTCACAGTGACAGGTTGCCAGTTTGAAAGGTGAAGCGAGACCATATGTGCCAATGCTTGTGACAATGTCCCCATTAAGAAGTAAACAGGACCAGGCACACACAACAAATTATGCAAGCAGGTGTTAAATAAGTGGATAAGCTGTATCTGGTGGAAGTGCAGCGGTTTTCCTGACATGTGGCAGTCAGTCTCTAGGCCTCGTTGTGCACTTTGCTGAGGCCACTGTGACTGGCCCAAGCTTTGTTCAGAGCCATTGCCCTCCTACTTTCCCTGAGGGCACTGCTCATAGGTTCTGAGCACCTGCTGCTGAGCCCTGGTCCTTGTCACAGGATTAACAAAAGCCCTTTGGGTCTTTTGAGTCTGACATAATGCCCCCAGTGGTGTACACCATCAATGACTACTTGTCCCAAATTATGAATATTCATTTGACCATTTGTTGGGGGTAGGGAATTGAACCCAGAGCCTTCATACTGAGCTACATTCCCAACCCTTTTTGAGATGGGGTTTTATTACCTAGGCTGTGCTTGAACTTTAAATTCTACTGTTTCAGCTTCCAGAGTCCTGATATTACAGACAATACTTCCATAGTCAGCTTAAAGAAATTACATTGAAAGAGGGTTGGTAGTTGAACAGGGAGACTGCAGGAATATAAGCCCTAACTTAATTTGGCCATTCAGATTTACCACAGTGCACACACATTGTCTGTAGGTTGACTCTTGCTGTGGTTTCTTACAGACATGAAACTCATTTTGTTAAATTCAAAAATACTGTTGATACAAGCACCAGGCAAGGTCAGCCAGCAAGTTCAAATTCTTAGAGCAGCGAGGCTTTTGAATTCTGTCCCTTTTATTTTTCTTAGAGGAAAACAGGTAAGACCACCTTTAGGATGACTGCAGAAGGAGCTGACATGCAGAGGCAGAAATGCAGAGAATTAACACACAGAGGCTGGTTTTTGAGGCTTCCCCGGAGCACAGTGAAATTCCCAGAGGGAAGAAACCTTGGGGGACAGGCCATGGGTTTGGAGTCTGGGAGGCCAGTCCTGGCCTGGGGGAAGGTGAAAGCGAGATTAAAAGAAGACAGCTCCATCTGGCTTTAGGCAAAAAAAAGTAGTTTCGTGCTTCATAGTTCATGTTTTCTTTAAAACTTCACCAAGATGTTTAGCGCTCCTCGAAGTGTTAGATTTTTTTTCCCCTTCAATAACCCATCTTCAGACACATCATCTGTATCCCGAGTCTAACGCAGAGTGCCTGTTCTCAGAAATTTTAGTGACTAGGGAGCAGCTTTTAAAAAGACCGGCCACAAATGACAGAGACTTTAAGTCCTTTATGCACCTTTCTCCTGAAGTGTTTCTTAAACGGATACACGATGATCTTGCAAATGCCGGATAGAAGGGGACAGTTTGGAAGCCCCTCAAAACTTGAACAACTCAAACATATCATGTCATTGAATTAATCTGACACGTTTTGTTACTCCCATTCCCATGTTTTAAAAAGATATAAACCACTGTACAATGTGTACACAGAGGAATACAACGTGGGAGGAACCGCCTCTATGTAACTTTGCCTGGGTCTTGTCCTAGGAAATGTCTGTGATCAGGAAGTGGAGATAACATTATCACTTTGGGAACAATTTTGCCTCCAGCAGGGGAGGGGCTGGCCGCCCCAATCCAGTCTTGGCAGGCTCAACCTGCAGCGAGGACGCGGCAGCCGGCTCAGGGGCCAGCGGCGGGCTGGGCGGTGTTGTGGCGCCCCGCACCTGCTGAGTTTAGGAGCCCTTCCCGGCATTAACACCGCTGTGGGTCCAGGCCAGTCAGCTCCAGGGCGGCTGAGCTGTTTTTTCGCGGACCTTCGTCAACCTGCACCCCGAAAGTCAACTGATGCTCACTATTGCTCAGGTGAGGCCTCCCGCAGGTGGTCGGGGTACCAGAGACAGTAGAGAAGGCAGGCAGCACAAGTGCATCTTGTCCCTGTCTGCACTCCTAGCTCTCCAGGGGCCTCTCGGCGCAGCGCAGACCCCTCCTACTGATCCGCACTCCCTCCGCACAGCCACAGACAGAGGCCGCAGAGGAGGCGTCCCGCGCGGACTCTTACGACAAGTGTCGCGGCACAGCGGCCCCGGGGCGTCCCGGGCTGCTGCCGCGCACGGCCCAGCGGCACGTCGCCCTCGCTAGCGACACTCAGGCTCAGAGAGTGCGTTCCGGAGAGACTGAGCGGTGAGCTTGTAGCCAGGTGCAGGTCTGGCGTATGGTCCCAAGGCGGAGGACCCAGTAGAGAAGCGGAATGTGGCCGCCCCTCCGGAATCTGCTTGGGAACCGCGCTCCCCGCGCGAGCCACAGACGGACGGACGGCGCGCGCGCCCGGCGGGGGCGGGGCGCGGGCCAATGGCAGCCAATGGGCAGCGACGAGGCGCGGGCGGTGGCCAATGGGCGGCGGCGGGGCCCGCGGGGGCGGTGCCGGGGCGGCGGGCGGAGGCGGTGGGAGCCGGAGTGGCAGACGGTGCGCGGCCGCCGAAGACACAGGCCGGCGGCTTTAGCCGAGAGTGCGCGGGGTCCGGGCCGATGGGCCGCCCGGGGCGGCGGCGGGCTGCGAGGCGGCGGCCCCAGGACGCGCCGCTTTGCGCGCGCGGGCCGTAGCGGGTTCCGGGTCGGAGGCTCTGAGGTGAGGCAAGTGTGTGGCGGGCTGGCGCTGGGGTCTCGGGGGAGCGGGGCTGCGAGCGTCTGTGCTGGTGGCCCGGGTCCGGCCGCGGGATAGCGGGCGGGGGTCACCGGTTCCCGGCCGGCAGCTGGTCGTGTCCGCCGCGGGATGCGAGGTGTCCAGGAGACCTGCCCGGCGGCCGGGACCCGCGGGAGACTGACGAGGTTGGCCCGGGGCGCTTTGTGGGCGCGAGCCCGCGCCGTGTGAGCAGGTCGCCCACCACGTCCGGGAGCGTGCCCCGAGCGCCCGCCGATTGATTTCAGGAGCCCCGCAAACCCAGGGAATCAATTTCGGCTCATCACCCGAGACCGGGAGCCCGGAACAACTCGACATGAGCCCTCTGGGAAAGATTTGTCATCATTAACCTGCTCCGGTTAAATTAATTCAGCCCAGGATGACTCCAACCGAAGCTTGGGGAACACCAAGTGCGCTGGTCGCAGAATTGTGCTCGCCAAAACACGATTTTGGTCAAAATAAAATAGACATTTTAGCTTTTACCTAGAGTTTGATTTGGTTTTGCAAGGATGACTTTTTGCAAAATAAAAACAAGGAGAAGAACAGCAACAAAGATTTCGGTGATTCTCAAGGGCTTGCTCAGTAAGTTCAAAATAGTCTCACAAATTTTTCTTTTCTTTGCCTCTTTTGTCTGCAGTTTTCATTTCTAAACTTTAACACTAGATGGCTTTCTTATGACAGGCATTTTACTAAACTGTTCGCGTTGGTTCTGTTTGCAGTATAGATTGTGGTTTTCATAGTCTTTCAATGGAAGGAAGAAAATCTCTAACACCGTTGCTTTTTAAAAATGTATATTACTTCCATATAAGACCTATAGATCCCAGTATTTTTGCAGATAGGGAAAAACGGCCTTTAATTAATGGCCTTCTAAAGGCACGACTTAGATTATGGTATGTAGTCATTTTTAAGAATTGTCTGTTTCTTGTTTTGACTTATTGGGGAATTAAGAGTTCCAGGGTGAATTTGGAGATTTTAATGGATAACATTTTCACTTACATTATGCTATTTGATATAATGTCACAGCTTATTTCAGAAAGATATAAAAAAGCAGTAATAACAGCTACCAAAGTGTGGTCTTCCTTGAGTTTGGGTTCAGCCAGCATAGATTGTTCCTAAGGATTGCACTGATACATTAGGAAGAGATGTAGCTGAGTGTGTCTGTGTGATTCATGCCAGGATTGTCTAGAACGTCTTCATTTCCTTCTCCCTGAATGATCTTGATTCTTCATTTTTAAGTATAGCCCTTTTATGACAAGTACCATAGTCTGTAGTTGACTGGCTGGGTAGCAGCAGGAGCTTCCCAGTTTTTAAGTAATGTTATTCTAAAGCAAGACTTTGGCAGCTTATCTGAATCTTGCCTAGTAGACAAACTTATTTTTAAACTGGAGAAATAGCTTGAAATTATCTTTATAGCTATCGTTGTGAGCTTTGTCCAGCTTTAAATGCGACACGTTGAATTTGTTCTAAATCATGGTGTATTCATAAATAGCTGATGGAAAAAAAAAAACCTGAGTAAACATCTGGGAAGCAGGGAATGAAATGAAATCAGAACAGTTTTTATCAGTACCTACATGCAACCTATAGATGGGGTGAGGTGAGCTTGGATAAGAAGCAATGAAAGCGTTTGTTCCTTAAGGTAAAGGGACAAATACATTACAGATGTAGAGATAGCTTCAGGCATTGGTGTATAGGCCATGGAATTTCCCCAGCTGGCCTACACACATATTTTTCATAAAATATCTTTTATGTTCTTCAGTGTTGGGCAACCTTCTTTGCCTTTCTTTTTCAGTACAGGGAATTAAACCCCGGGTCTTCACAAATGTCATTTCTAGCCCTTTTATATTCTATTTTGGAACACAGTCTCGCTCAATTACTAAATTGCCCAGCCTGGGCTTGAAGTTGTGATCCTTATGCCTCCGCCTACCAGAGTAATGGGATCACAGGCATGTGTTACCACACTAAGTTTAAGTTTTCTTAAAGGATTTTAATTTTCAGAGATGCAGCTTTTGGTAGAATAGGAAAATTATCAGATCATTATGATTTGGTAGCTATGATGTTTGATTGTCGTTGAAGCTATATAATTGTGGGTATAGAAGGTTCCTTTTCCTTCCTTGGGACTGGAATGGTATTTTGAAGGATTTCTGATACCTAAGTTTGGTCAGCACTCTTCTACTTCAAAGATCTTTTTACCTGAGGCAAAAGCAGTAGGGTATTCATTTTGAGACTATTTCTGAAATGACTAAATATTAGTGAGCTTTTCTGAAATGGCAGTTGTTGGATTAAAAGTGCTGTTTTTGGATGTCAAAACTAGTTTATGGCTGAGAATATAGCTCAGCAGCACAGCACCTGCCTGGCAAGTGCAAGGCCCTGAGTTCGAGTCCTAGTACTTGAAAAAAAGAAATAAAATTGTTCAGAACAAGTTGTGTTTCCTGCATACTCTGAAGAGAGCTATGTGTTTACCTGGACATAGCCCCTTAACCTCCAGCTGACTGTGTAAATGTCAAGGTTATGTTTGGAGATTGAGGAAGCAATTGAGTCTTTGAACATAAAATCTGCAGGGGTGGTTTAGGAGTACAGATGTTTTTGAAGACATGCAGAATTTGAGAAAAGTTTAGACCATTACTGTTAACTGAAAAGCTAGGTTTTGCTTTTCTGTTTTGAATTTGAATGCAATATAAAGTAGAAGCCTAAAGGTTAAAGAGAATCATGTACTAGATGTTTGTTTATAATGATGGACTCATTTCCCTTTCATAGTGGATAGAAAGAGCACGGGGTTGGGGCGGGACTGCAGGATCCTCAGCATCCTCTCTCCCCAAAGTTATAAATGAGAAATTTGGGTAAAATACTGCTATGATCCTTTTCAATGTGTATAGAATTTTAGTATTCTATTGGTGAGAATTAATATAGTAATGAAGATGTCTGTCAGGGATAGCTTATATTTTTTGTGATTACTGTCTTTCCTGGCTATGGCTTACTGTAAGTTGGTGCGCAAGTCCTCTAGAGGATTACAGCTGCTTGGTTTACCTTGAAATCAATGACTCAGAAATTGCTTTTCTATTGCAATTGCATTTAGCTATGACCTCTTTTAAAGGAGAACTAACAGTGTGACAGGAATTTAAATGCCTCACAACTTTAGGAGTAAATTATTTTGATCCTTTCTGAAACTGATTCAGAAACTTTGTTTCAAAGAGTCAAGGGGGCTGCCTCTAACCTGCTGTAGGAGTCCTCTTTCCTGAGATATTTCATATTTATGTAAGGCCTTTTTTTGATGTATTTTCCTTGTGCAATCCTGTATAGCAGGGTGAGTGGGGAAAAAAGATATGCAGTAAGTTGAGTGTGGTTTTCATAATATCTCTAGGTTGGAAAGGCCCTTAAAGGTTATTCCTTCATGTTTTTATACTATTTGATTTCATTTTTAATATTAAAAAAACAAATTTTAAGGGTTCTCAGATTTTTAGCTTTTAATGTTGCTGTATTGATACCCTCAAAAGGTGGAGGGATATATATGTTGTGAGCCTAATGGGCAATTTTTCTATCTGGAAAAGACATTTGTTGAAATATCCTCCCATATATGTCTCTGTTTACGTATGCACACTTTTTCGTTTTGCACAGAGCTGTGAAAACTTCATTAAGGGCTAGGGTTTGGAAATACTGAAGCAGCCCTTCTAACCCTTCTTTGCTATGTGGGAAAGTTCCTTTAGATGATATCTGTGTGTGATCTTCCATCTATACCTGAGCATGGCTGGAAAGGGGTAGGAGCTCCAAATTTGATGGTTTTCAGTACTATAAAGTGTTTTTAACATGCAAAATTGACATCTTAATTCTGTTCATTCAAATTTTAGTCCTTGGTGGCCTTCAGAAGAAATCCTTCATAGAGATATTTCAGTCACAGGACGCATCTGTCAGAGTTGGACCTATAGCACAGTGCTTTGTGTGCCTTCTTCTTGACTTGGTGGGGAACAGAAGGGTCCTCCCAAGGCTGTGTGCCTTGTGTACACTGAAATGTCTAGGTTTGCATTCATGTATGCGGTGGCCATGTGTCTCAGATCCTCCGATCCTGAAACCCTGTGTCTTTCCTTTATTGGTGCCATTGAGCCTAGTCTCCCTATCCTGAACTATTGTCTTTGTAAGGCTGACGGTGTATTGTGTTTTGTTTACTGTTTTCACTGGTTCCTTGCATTGTGCCTTTTGGAATCTTGTTCTTTATTTAGCACCTTTGCTTGTCCAAAGAAATGCTGTCCACATCTTGGATCAGATTGCTTTACCTGTGTTGCTAATAAAATTGTTAGCCTGGCTGACCACTCCTTAGACACTAGAGGCTTCCTTCTAGGTTCACAAGGAGGCTCACTTTGATTGCAGTAAGTACTGATGCATCTCTCTGGACCCTTGCACTTGGATATTGTGAAACAACGGGTGTAACCTGCTTTGCAGGTTCTGCCCACCACTTTATTCTGAGTAAGAAATGAGTTCATTTTCATTGTGTTATTGGTAAGACCCTGTTTTGCATATAGTAGTTAGTGATTATGAAGTACATGTTCAGTAAGGACAGAGAAACTAGGGGATCCTAAGACTCAAAGGCTGTAGGCACCAAAAAGGATTGTAGGACAAATTAGAATGTTGGACTTTCATACTGAACTCATTTTTCAGTTTGGTATTGTTTTGCTTTTTTCAGACAGTGGGGACAAGGAACCACAATCTTTTTGCTCTTTTCTGGATGTTTTAATTAGTTGATACACTTTTCTTCCTATTTCACAAATAAGTGAGTTCTGCCAACTAGATCACTTCATATTTTTACTGTTGCATATTTTCTGATTACTGAGAAAAATTCCTGTAGAGTTGTGTTGTCATTCCAAAGCTGGCTAGTTAGAGAGTCTTCCGTGACTCCTAAGTAAAAAATCTGAGCAAAGAGCTGGATTGTTACTGCTGAAAGTAAAAACTACCATGTGAACAAAATTATGGATGCAGAGTGAGCCATTGAGTGGGGTGATAGAACTTTTGACTGATGTGAGGGCCCGGCATCCTGTGTTGACAGTATGATGGTAATTTTCACTGTGTCCCAAGCTTTTTGATAACTTTTGTATTCTTGTGGAAAACTGAGTGGTTCAGGGATAGCTCTGGGCTGTGATCCTTTGCATTAAGGTTTCTAATAACTGACTTTAGAAGTTAAAATTTTATTTTTTGTGCTAGGGATATGCTACTTAGTGCCTTAATCCAAAGAACTTTTCTACTGTGCATCCCATCTGTACACAATCACCTCTCTGACTATCCATGCATAGACGTATGTACATATGTATATAGATATGTATTTATGCAAATATAGCTATACTTTACCATGCTGAAATATCATGGACATCTTAAAACATGAACAAAATTATACATTTTAAGAAGGGTTATATTAAAAGTGGCCAGAAGTATAGGGGTGTTTTTCTCATACCTCTAGGCTGGTTTATTAACCCTTGAAATATGTCATCCCTTTTGGATACTACTGCTCTGCTGCTCTTTCTGGCAGATCACTGACTGTGTAGACACTGGGATCTGGGACCTGTGGGGTCTTCAGAGGGTATCACAGCTACCATGGGTTC